AGCGTGCCAACACATCTTAGCAGATGTGACGTGACAAAGAAGTGCGTTCGCACAACTGGGACACTGCTGTTTTCCTCTTTCATCTTCCACCAGCAGTTACCCAGCATTCAGGTCCAGAGGAATGAGCCCAGTGTGACATATTTAAACTGGGATTATTCTCTGGGATTAGGAAGGAGTCGGTTTGCAAGCTATCTTTATTGTAGCTGCAGTTTATCTGATGCTGCTGCCCTCTGAGTTAGACTGGGTTGGGTTGTTTTCTTGAATTAACTGGAAGTTGTGTCTTTTCTCTGATTTCCAGAGGAACTAAAGGACTACCTGTTTGGAGACGGAGCTATTAACAAGATCTTCACCCTGGGAAACAGTGAGTTCCCTGTCAGCTGGGAGAATGAGATTAAACTGTGGACTTTCCTGGAGAACCGAGCTGCTCTCCTGTTGAAAACCTACAAGACCACATCAGAGGTCAGTCAGCATGAACTATTCATCAGTATTAAGATTTTAGATCCATAAATAATGACACATAAAGATTGAGTGATATCTAAAGCTAAGTTCTGAGACAGTTTTAAAGGATGCAAGAGAGCAGATATAGTTAATCAAAACAGAAGCTCAGACAATAACTTTGAGTAAGAGAGAGATGGGAGATGTTAAGTTGTTAGCAGCAGGAGCTCCCACCTGTTCTGGGAAGGTGTCACATCTAAACAGGCCAGACCAGACATAATGACATAAACTTTAAAGTTGAAATAACAGCAAATAATGCAAAACTGGGGAGAAGGAAAATAATGCAGCAGAGCAAGGAGAAGCGCTCAGTCTGTCCTCTAGAAGCCTAAACTGATGGCAGCATAACTAGACAGCTCACCATGGAAATGGTGTCTGCAGTCATAGTTTTCCAAATAGTGTTTTGCAGAGAAGTCAAAAAAATTCATTATGTAACCTTCAATAGAGTAACCGCAACTCTTGCGTACAACAAATTCAAATGTCTGATAAGTAAAGCTAATTACATCTTTGCATGTTGTATTTTTTTTTCCTCTGTGACCTGAGAGCCAAGTTGAAAATTGACTCAGAACATTCTGTCACCACCTGCTGCGTTTAGCCTTAAGCTCACCCGCCTGCAGCTCTTTAAAACTTTGCAGTAGAGTGTACTGCCTGCAGGTTCTAAACAAGTCTCAAAGAAGTTAAAACTTCACTTCATTTATACAGAAACAAACCAGAACTAAATTCTACTTCAGCCTTAGCCAGGAACTTCAAGTGTTGGAACAAATGGGGAGTTTTGTCCAGTCAGGTTTACCTGTTGATTTACCCATGCAGTTCAAAAACCTCACCTGGAGAAGACACTGAGCTTTCATGAGCTGAATATGTGAAATTGAATTGATAATTGAGTTAATCCTGTTCCTGTCCGGTCTTCCAGGACGACCGGTCTTTTTTGGAGAAACCAGATCTCTCTCTCCACTCCCGTTTGGCCGTCCAGCTCCGCCTGGCTGAGAAGGAGATCCTGGAGAAAGTGTCAGCTAGCGGTCGGGACAAACGACTCCACTTCCAGAAGAAACTGGAAGAAGGCGCTCCGTTGCCACACTTTGAGGAGAGCGACATCGCTCTGTTGGAAAACAATGACACGGATGCAAAGCTTCCCATTATCCTGCGCAAGTTGGAGGAGGTGGAGAAAGGAGACGGGCTCCAGGTGGAGGAGCCCCTGCTGAATGGGGAGAAAGTGAGCTTTGGAACGGAGAAAATTCAGCAGGTCAGCAGAGATGTTACTTCAGAGCGGATGGGTCAGACACAAGCACCTGAACTGAGTGCCAATCGAACTGAAGACATCCCCAAAGAGAACAGTGAATAACTCGGCCCCCTCACTGCCACAGCTCATTCTATTTATTTATTTTGAGTCTAAATGGTTCAGAAATGTAGAAGCAGAAGCTGTCAAAAAAGAAAGAACCGTATGTTCATCCAGCGTGATTTCCTGCTGAACTCTGTCAGCCTTGTTTCAGGAGAGGTTCAGATTAAAATCCACTTTGGGTTCAGTTTGAAACATGCAGACTGTCAGAGGTGAACAAAAAAACAAGGTGGCTTGTAATCTTATGTGGATGTTATTTTTACAGAACAAGAACCTCTCCTGTTTAGCGATTTAGCTGCTTTATCACAGCGGTTTGGCTCTGTGTGTATGTGGTTTTTGTTTTCAGTTGACAATCATTGCCTGGTTGTTTGTGAGCGACCACCATCACTGCCCTTCCTAGTTTTGGTTTAACCAACTCATTTGTTGACCGTTGTTTCGGACTGAAATGGAAGACATACTTCATGGGACATCTGTTTTAAAACTGTTGAATGTATCAAGTCTAAAGTTGCAGTGGTAATCCAGTAGGAATGATCACTGTATTTTCTTTTCCATAAAGCCATAAACAGCACTGAGGATTCAGTGAGAAACAGAAATGTGTCCTGTTGTTTTCCCTGTTGGATGATTGCTTTTTCTCATTTCAGCATGATGGTTAAAAAACACAAAGAAACGCTGTTCTGTTCATCTTATGCTTTGTGTTCATTGTTAAAGTGAGCGAGATAATCCTCTGTGTGAAGACTTTATAGGCCACAATAATAATCTGAAGGAAAAGGTAAAGAGACTGAGATGGTTTACCATGTCCTTAAAATTGTGTGGATTTATACACAGCTGGGTCTGTTCGACACATTACAATATTAAAGAGCATAAATGCCAAAGATAGTGTATGCTTGTGGTAAATAGTTTTTTTTTTTAATAAAAAAAATCTAACCTCAAATGTACAAAAAAGGCAAATTACATTCTGTAATTTTTTTCCACAAAGATGAAGCCAAATTGGGAAAGCCTCAACTGTAATCCTGGTAAGTAAAAATAAGCACGTAAGTAAAATAGATGCTAACAGTGACGAGAGAAAATCAATTTGTCCACTTGAATTCTCTACAAATTGTTTTACTTATTGGTAATTTCAACATTTTCATGGTCAGAATCACTGAATTAACACATTGCCTGTTGAAATACTCGAAAGACCGGGTCGAAGCAGGGCAGTGCTTTGCCTCACCTCTAGGGGCGCAGCATCACACAAGTGAATGAGGCAGGCAACTGGCGCATGCCCATTGCTGTCTCTTTATATCTCCAATGTATTTGTTTAGCTACACGTTTTCTATGAATGTTAGAGTTCCACGGTCTGCTTTATATATTTAATGAATGCGTGTGACATACTTAGTCTTTCTGATCTGCTATAATTGCGGTCACCATGATGCGCGTGGTGAGGCAGAAAGTACCGTGCCTCACTGACAGGGGGCGCTCGGCCCTGCTGGCAACAGGTGTTCTACGCATTGAAAAGATTGAAAACAGTCGACGGGGGCAATACAGACGGAACTGAACCTTTCAAGGTCATTCTGCCAGATTTTTTTTGTTAAATGAAGGACAACAAGAAACAAGGACTTTTTTTTGTTGTTTTTGTTTTTATACAGAATGACGAGAGATATTCGCGGAGAAAGTGCATGGACGTCGTATAAAATAAAGGTAAGATACACGACTTTCAATTTTAATCTGCATAGAGAGGTCACCCAAAGAAAACATTCATATGATTTAAAAAAAAGTGTGACCTTGTTAAATATTCTTTTATATTTCTTGGTATTTGGTATTATATTGTTAAGCTTTATGTGAGGGTTTTCATGACGATGCTAGTAGAACCCAGAGCACTTCAACAATAAATCAACAGTCTGTTTTCATGCAATTATAAAACTTATTTAGACGACTATGATACGTGTCACGTAATTTCAGCGGATGATGCTTTTGATTATTTTATCAAATCCCAAAAGACGGGTAGTATTCGAGCAAGATCCAGTCCATAAATCCAAAGATTAACAGTCACCATTTCTTATTCCTCAAGTTTTTTTCTTATCTTTTCTTCTATGCCACAAAGTCTCCATCCATCTATTGTTCTTTCTTCACCTTCTCCTGGTCGAAAAATGGTTTATTGAGTGTATTTTCCCATCTCCTGCCCTCTGGCCCTATTAGAAATTTATAAAAGAAACATTATCTTGAATCATTTAATTCAGAGCAATTAAATTTTGAAGTGCATTATTTATAATTCATGGCTGCCAAAGATAAAAGCCCTTTAATCCTTGAATATATTATTATAATGGGCACTATGATGGGCAGCAGAGAGCAAGGCTTGTCCACTATTGTTAGTGCTCACTGTGTCAGTGTGACAAACAGACCTGGAACCAGCAATCCCAACAAATCCTGCTGTATGAATTGTAAACTGCCAATCAGCAGCTTCACCCAGGTCGGTCCAGCTCGCTGTGGGAGCACACTGCAGGGATGGCAGGTATTTACAGGTCAAATTATGGACAGAGCTGTGTTCCCATCTTTGTTTTTTTGTTATTTTGCCTCCTAAGTTTCATCTGATTACTGGAAACTAAGCTGGTTCCTGTTGGTAGAAAATCAGGGCGGCCATGAGGTTTTTTTTTTTTTTTTTGATAAAGTACGCTTTGGTCATCTGGACATGATTGGTAATTTCTTTGCCTCCTAAATACCTCAAGCTAATAGATGTGTTGCTTCACTTTGCTTTACATATGTATACAAATATTTAAAATGATTCATCACGACCCAGATAGATAAGCATTTTAGCTCCCCATGCTTATAAAAAATGTCCCAGATCTTCCTCTCCTTCGTGGAAAATGACTGACTGTGATGTAACGCTACAGGAATCTCATAATGGAAGCATCTTTTTATTATTCAGGAGGTGAATGGATGGGAGAGATGGCCTGGCTTAAGAGATGGAGAGTGTGACAAATGAAGACATAAAGACAACTGACAGATAAAGTTTTCATGTCAGAATGATGGTGATGAAGTGGGTTGGCTTCCTAGTGCCATGAAAGAATGGTGGTCTTTTACCTCATTTACAAAAACCTTTGGTGGACTAATTTATTTATTTTTTTTGGCCATTGGGACAATCATACTATATAAATGAGACATTGTCCCCATTTGAGCCATCCATCCATCCATGGAAGCTCATCCACGTTCGTATATTTTCGACCTTATTTGTTCAGTCCTAACCTACATCTCATGATCCAAATGGGGGTTGGACTTTCTCTTTACTAAAGTCAGGAAATGTTAAATTTTATCACTTCTGTTTCTGCCCTTTTCTACTTATTGATCCATCAATCTATTCCACCACATGCCTTAACTGCTTCACGTTAGGATGCAAGTCATACCTTCAGGGTGGAAACGACACTTTTCTGTATAATGGAGTTAAAAATAATTCTTTTACCTGCTTTTTTGCTTTTCTCCAAACAACCTGCTGGAGAATCTTGTTCTATGAGGCTTATTGTTTACATATCCCTTCATTTGGATTTGGCCTGCACGGCTTCAACTGTTGTTCAGTGAAGGCTGTCAGAGCTTAGGATTGTTTCTGGGAATATTTGCTTATTTAACATTTGCTTTGGTTTGCTTAAAATCAGATTCAGTTAGGGTGCCATTTCACAGAACTTTGGAGCAGAGTTCATTCTTCAACAAAGAGTCCACAAAAAACTTTTACAAGGTTTCATTGAAGACAAACATTCTGCAAACTTGGAAATCCTTCTTCTGATTTCAATTTGGATCACCTCTTTGTGACTCCAATTTATACAGCGTTTTGATCTGCATGTATCATGGATAATGTCTGAAGACTTTAAATGTCGCCGGTGCTTTCGAAAAATGAGACTGCCGGAAGTGAGTGAACAAAATGGGTTATTTACTGTTTTTTTTTAGTGCAGTAAAGTTACTAAATATTGAGCTATGACTGGACAGTACAAACAGAATGAAGACGAGGACATGCAATGACAGAGAGAACATAAGGTAAAGGGAAACTGGACGATGACAGCCATAAATCCTGTATGCATAAGTGTGTTCTTCTGATGCGACCTAGAAACAGAAAAATGAAGACTGACCATGATTTTTTTTCTTTTTTTTTTTCTTTCTTGCATTTTTCTTTCCTTCTCTCTTTCTCCTCTCATGGAGCAGGAACATCACTCTCTATTCTGCAGGTCAGAGAGGGAACAATTAAGTGTGGAGGGCGCTGGGAGTCGCTGACAGGTGATGAATGGCCAGGCCGGCTGCAAGTGACAATATGCAGACAAGCCGGATCATTTGCAAATGGATGTGGGGAGATGGAGGATGGGTGGGGTGGATTGGGGTGGTGGATGGAGGCGAGGAAAGTCAGGGGCAGGAGGAGGGGGAGAGAGAGCTGGAAGGGGGAGAGAGGGGTTAACCCTTCCAGAATCATTTCTCAGCAGCAGGAGGAGGTGGTGGAGGCGCAGCCACCTGCCCAGTAGAGAGGCTCATTTGTTAGAGCTGATGGAGGCCTGAGGACAACTGGCGGCCATGGGGAATACACTGCAGGTAGCATCAGCACACCACTATGTTGACCAACAGCCACAAAATCAGCTCAGCTTGATTGAAAACAGCTTCCCTCTAGTTAGTTAACTGGAGATTTCTATGTGTTTTTACCGGTTGTCATAGCAGGACGTCATTAGGGTTTCATTTGATGTCGGCCGAGTTGGATATATATTTATAAAAACAAACTAGCACAAATGTTTGCACTTCTGTAGTTTTGACAGTAGTGGAAAGAAGCTATTAGCTCAAATGGTATCTTTGCTCCTGCTACCCAATTTACACCTTCATTCAGCCTTTTTCTTTCAGTCTCACACAGTTGAACTAAGATGTGGGCAGAAGCCTTATTTAGTCACCTGACATGTAGATCAATCACTTACTTGATCCCTAATGCCCTTAACAAGATCAGTCTGCAGCAGAGGACATACGAGTTACTCACATAAATGTGTTGTCCTTGATATAGCTATTGGCACTTGCAGTAAAACCTCAGGTAGCTTCAGTTTAAAGGTTTTACGTATTAGAGAACAAATGAACTTCCGATAATTTACAGATTTTTGTAAAAACAAAAATACAAATCTGACCTGTCTCTCACCTGATTGTGGAGGAATTTTTGATCACTCTTCTTTTACATTTTTGCTTCAGCTTCAACTAATGATAGAATATTTTGAGCTCCACATGAATTCCTCAGTGTACCAATGATTTCTCTCAGCATTGCACACTCTGACTTTAGGGTGAATTATATAGGATGTCTACTCCTGAGTAGACTGGCAGCTGTCTTAAATGTCTTCCACTTGTGAATAATCTCTTTCTATGAAGATCTTTAGAGTTTTCATAGTTTGGAGATGAGATGGCCTTATTGCATTTTCCCAGATTGATAATGAAAACGTTATTTTAAGGTCCTCATGGATGTCTTTCCACCTTGGTGTTGTGCTGTATTGTCATTCAGATGGCATTTTGCAAAGCCCGGTCCTAACCACATGAACTTTTATTGACATGACTTCACAAAAGGCTGTGATGACTTTCGGTAGAGGCATACATTTTACACAGTGGGTGATTATTTGAGGTTTCTATTGGCGTGTCCAATCAAAAGAGTGACAACCATTGTGTACATATCTAGTTTTTATGTTACTCATGTATTATTTCCTGTGATATTAATCACTGCCAGTTTTATTTGACAGGTGTTGGATTTCTGGTCAGTAACACATTTTTTTTTTCTTTTTATCTTTTGCTACCTCTCATCTTTTCCATTTAGCGAGTAGTGAGGGATTGTCAAGTTCTCTTGTTCATGCATATGGACTGACCATCTGCAACAACACGCAGCAAAAATAACCAAAAAACGATATGCTAAGTTGACTCCCACTCTCCATACATCATTACTACCACATCTGCAAACAGCTTGTACTCTTTTATTGGGCTTGAACCTTTGGCGACGCATCTATATTCAGCACACATCATGTGTGGATGTAAGGAGAACACTCTGAGGAGGCTTCAATCAAACTCAAACATTTACTGACTCTAATGCTGCTTATTTTACACCCCAGAGTTGGGAGGAGAGCTCAGAGGTGCACGCGGTGGCTTTGATCCCTTCCTCTCTGGTGTTTGTCCTGGTTATGGTGTGACGGCCTGTCAGGAGACACAGCCGAGGGGACAGTCGACTAAATCAGCTCGGATCAGACCTGATCTCCTCACACACAACTGGCCGGGCATGACGGTGTGCTGACCAGCGAGCGGTGAAGAGGCCCAGAGTTGGTGTCCCACCTAATCTTCATCAGACCTCAGCAGCTCTGACCCAGAATCCCCGTTCTCCCCCACGACCTGCCATCCACCGCGCTCTCTGACCACGGCTCGGTCGCTCAGGTGGACACACACTCTGTGACATGATGGCTTTGGCACCGTGGGCTCCTGTGCCCAGTAGCCTGACTGTCAGCCCAAATATATAAAAAGAGGAAAAGAAGCAAGGGATGGGGAGGAAGATAGATGGATGGGGAGAAGAGGAAAAACCATCCTTAAACAATTCACTCAATAAAAAAAATCCTGGCGTCCTAGTGCAGGTTTGGAAGTTTGGGAAAGACTAATTAAAGAGTTAAGTTGAGATCAAATCTCCAACCTGCCCTCTCCACCAGGAGAGGGCAGTGGAAGACAGTAAACCTGAGGTCAACAACATCAGAGTTAAAACTGGAATCTGACTATGAATGTGAGGAACTCAATCAGAGCTGCCAAATACTCAGGCTGGTAATCACCATGAAAACTTACATTTTATGCCCTGCACCACTCTATAAAACCTGCTGTTTTTATTTTCTGCTGGTAGACAGAAGACGACACAATATGGTGGTAACCTGCCCAAGGCAGCTTGATAAATAAATAAAACTAATGTCGTCTCTTTTGTCTCGGTGAAGGCCACGAGAGCAAAGCATTAAGTTCACATCGGTGGGTCCTCAGGCAGTACTTGTGACAAACCGTAAAGCACTGTGAAATATTGTATCCAGACAATGGAGAGCCGAGGAAGCTGTGTTCATGTAGATCATGTCTCCATTGTCCAGCAGCTTCAGGAAAGTTAGTTTTACATGCTTTTTCCTTACGTCAGGCTTCAAACAGGATTGGCGTCTAGAAGAAAACCAAGGAGAGCTTTGAGCGTTTTCATCAGATGTTCCACATGGATTGAAAAACATAATATGTCATTGATCCATGTGCTCAAATATTTGTAAGCTCAGGATCACAGCACAGCCTGTCAAGCATGTAGAAGTGGTGAAGACAACGTAGTTGAACCTGAGTATCAGAAACAGGAATAGAAGGAAATTTGAATGATGTAGAACATGGCGGCGTGGTTGTTGTTGGTAGACAGGAAGAATTGAGTCTTTCAGATTCTTGCAGAGTTCTGAAAAGCACAAAATATGAAGTGAGCAGTAGCTGTGTGGACAAACATGTCCTGTTTATGTCGGAGGATAATGGTCAGAGTGGTACAAAATGAAAAGAGGCAACAGAAACTCAAAGAAAAAATATTGTGGAGAGTTTGATGGTCTCTGCCACTTGATGTTCACTATTTGGCATCCTAACGAAGGAGTTATTAGTGAGTTGGACCCAAAATCCTAATGCTTGTGTATAGAATGTTTGACATTTTTCAACAGTTTTCTCTGAATACCATAAAAACAACAAAGTTAAAACAATAAAGATCGACTCTCATATGCAATTGAGGATTTAGCAAGATGATCCCATTTCACCTCTGGACAGGAATCTTGCTGTGCTGCTCTTTTCCAGGTTTTGTGCCTGTTTGAGAGTTTCATGTATAACAAGACATAGGTCTGCTCCATTCAGTCTAAAATTGTTGGTTTCCTTCAAACTGAGATTTCAGCTTTCAGGACAAACGGATGTCAGATAAACACACTGGCTACCACAAACCAAAGAAGTGGTTCAAATCTCCAGACTTCAGATTCTCATCCTGATCGTTGCTGTACTGCATCAGCCATCATCTCCTAATTAACCTCCCTGCTGCTCCTGTTTAACTGAAGCCGCTTTAGATTTGTGTGACTTGGCTACCGTGTTTGTGTGTTTTCTTGATTTTTATTATTATTATTTTTTCCCCCTGCCCACAACAACACAAAGAGGCAGGTTACGGAGCCAAAAGTCGTGTTAGCGCTGGAGGATGGAAAAGACACAAGAGGTCCTTTAACACAAAAGCAAGGATTTGGCTCTGCAGTGTTTGGGACGAGTGTCAGAGGACGGAGCTAATTGTGGTGAATGCAAAGCTTTGGCAGTGCCTCGTTCTCCTATCAGATGCCAACATTATTCTGTGTGTGGATGTCTGCGTGCATGTGTGTGTGTGTATGTGTGTGTAGTCATGCATTCCCTCACTCTTTTGTTTGTGTATTTCTCTGCTTCCTCCAGAGGCTCTGGTGGAAAATGGTCGGCAGTCGGACTGCCAAAAAGGGCCTGATTTAGTTGTTTTCCTTCTTCTGAGGTAACTTAGCTTCAGATCGCCATTAAGTCCTTGATTTGTTATTCACATGCAGGACTCCCTCACCTGTGAGAGAAATTTTTAAAGTTTAGCACTTAATCAGCTGAGAGTGTGTCGACTTTGTTCAGCCAAGGTCTTTGAATACTGATCCATCGGTATTTAAAACCAGTTGTTCTATCAATGCCTCAGATTGTGACAAACTGGTAAACATTTAGGATTCTGACCCACAAATAATGGTGACAGAGAACTGTGACCCTACAAAGTCATGATCAGCTAGTGACATTGGTTGATTTAAGATAATCACCAGTGCTAAATTCCTCTTTCTGTTGCAGCCTTAAATAAAAGTATTGATTGGTCAATGCAAACTTAATGAGACGCAGGATGTAGTGGTCAATATTTTTAATAAAATCCATTGTCACTAAATGTTTTTTTTTTTTTTTTTACTTTAGATTTTCCACAACTTTTCCAAAAACTTTTTCACTTTCTTTTATCTGGATGTTTTCCAAAGTAGCCGCTACACCACCCATCACCCTCAAAACTCAAGTTTGAAAAACAAATATTTTTTTTAGCATTGTGAACGTTTTGAAGCCCTGGAGATCTGCCTTGCTCATTTATAGCCTCTAATTGAAGGCAAACCTAATTAGGACGCTACATATCCCTTTTTCTCATTTCCTCTCTCAGCATCATTATATGAAAATTAATACCGACCAACACATGCATTACCCGCTGCTTTAATTCTGCTGGAATTAATGAAGGTGAAAATAATTCTCTTTGAAAACAGAGGAGGGGAGGATAAAAGGTCCTGAAGTGGGAGCGCACACTTGTTTGTGTCATGAGACTTCTGCTAACTTGCTCTAAATAAATCAGTGATTAGCATTTTTCCCTTTAAACGGAATAATTCCAACTTTGATATCTGTAATTGTGCTTAAGGGCTTCTGCGCTCCTCCACTGGCTCTCTGCTCAGTGCAGAGATGATCACAGCTGCTTTTTATTCACTTCACACTCATTCACAGCCCCTTTGCTGCTTCCACAGGAGTTGAGAGGTAAAGTTAGCCAGGTGCTGCAAAAAATATGAACATCACAGAGCAGGAAGTGCTGAAAATGGTTGGTTAAAAGTTGATTTTTCAGTACATAAAAAAAAAATCAACATTCAGAGTCTCAGTTTAAGAGAATAACACGTGTCGTTCTACTGGGAGTCAAAATTTCAAGTTATTTTAACTGGATTTAATGGTGTTTGGGCTGCAATTACCCTGTAATAAAAACAAAAAAAAACCTTTTAATATCAATTTGACGAGCGTTGGTGAGGTGCTGCTAATTATATGCAAATTTTAAATGATTATAAGAGTGAACATCTCAAGAAAAGCACAAATCTAGGTAATGTGCTAGATGTTGGAGCTGCTCATTCTGTAATAGGCCATTTCTAACTGGATGTTTTTTCTCTCTATAAGGTAAAATTATACTCAGAAGTGGAAAAACATTGCTTCCTGTCATTGTAGGATTGAAGGTTCCCCAAAAATCAAATTGAGGAATACTCAGAGAAATTACAAACACCTTGTGCTCCATCTCAGACTCCACAAGGTTCAGTTAGCACAATGCTAAAGTCGAGGACAGAACAGGAAGACTGCACTGTTACAAAGTACTGGCGGAGAAATCCAATGGTTTGCAAAGGTTCATGTGAATGAAGCACAAAGTCTCGGGGTGCTGATGGCACAGGCTTCAGCTTTAGCCAAGCCTTGCAGTCATTGAGCCAACCATGAACTTTGCTGGATACATGACATGATCTAGAGTCAAATATGAGGTAATGTGTCCCTAGAGGTGAAGCTTGCCCCCACCTGGACCATCATCCCAAACCCAGCAGTAAATATACAATAGGATGGCTCAATAAGAAAAAAAAACAGTTTCAATGGTCCAAACTTAGATAAAAGTTATGGAGAAACAACTGGACCAAATGTCAGTTAAAGTATAGCAATGCTTCATGGGCCCAAATTCCTCTACAACGACATAAAGTCAGGGAAAAGACAACTGAGACTTTAACATGTTGGACATGGGTTTTCACATATTGCTTGATTCAATTTAAGAAGTTTTCTGAAAGTAATCGGAGTGTTCAGTTATCAATGTGGCGAACATAGAAACACTCCAGCTGAATCAGAGGGACTCGGCGTTTGCTTATGGCAGCAGATCACCAACAGAGGGTGGTGTTGCACCGCTGGTCGGAGCTCCGAGGGTCATCATTCGGAGCTCATCACTTCACCTCCAGCCTTTTCTTTTCTGCTTTTCATCACTGGAGACAGGATCAGAGAAGCGAATCGTCCCTTTAATGGACGAAGCTGACATTCAGACTTGATGGCTGCTGTTAAGAAGGACGCCTACTTAC